GTTATAAATATGTTATTGATCATATACAAGGTTATAAAAAAAGTTTGACTCAGCTTGAAGAAGTTCATCTTACATTATTGGGTACAAAATCTTCATTTGGAATACAAGAGGTTATAGTTGTTGGAAATTTATGTGGATTTTATGGAAGAAAACTAGATCCAATAAAGGTTTATACAATTAAAAGAATGAAAGAAGAATGCAGTTCTTTAATAGAGATTTGTAGGTTTTTAGGTCCATGTATATTTTATTATATTTGGATTCCTCACTATGCTCACATAGAGGATCCATTGTATAAATTGTTACACAAAGGATAATGGTTTAAATAAAAAAAAGCATATTAAAGCAATACAAATATTAAGGAAATTATTGACATCACCTTTAGTGTTGAGAAAAATTAATTATAAGTACAATAGACCAGTGATTCTTATAGTGGATACTAGTTCAATTGCCATTGGATAGACTGTAGGTCAAGATGATTTGAATGGACATAGATTTGCAAAGCGATTTGGAGCTAAGGTTTTATGTACTTGCCAACATGCATATTCCCAGGTGAAAAGGAAATTATAGTGAATTGTTTTAGTTATAAAAGCTAAAATAGATTATTTGATTGAGGTAATGGTAGTAATTGAAATGAATTGTTTATCTTTATTTAGAATGATTATTAATTATATAACACCAAATATTACAATGTTGAGATGGATTGCTTATATCAAGTCATTAAATCTGAAATTTATGCATGTTGTAGGGAAAGACAATCTAGTAGCAAATATATTATTTTAAGCAATATATAATAGAAAAGATGAAATGATTGAAGATATTAATGATGTGGATAAATTTTAATTTAATTGTATAATTGAACAAGGAAGATAAGTCATTTCATAAAAAAAATTATGAAAGAGAATTATTGGATATTGAACATTATTTGAATACATTAACCAAGCATATTAATTATTCGGTTGAAAAATTTAAACAAATAATAAAAAAAAAAACATATAGATTTATATTACAAAGGAGATTTTTATAGAAGAGGCCAAAATCAAATATTAGAATGCTATGACGAGTAGTAAGTACTAAAGAAGATCAACAAAGACTATTCAAAGAATTTCATAGTAATCCATAGGCGAGGCATAGGAGAATTTTGGCTACTTTTGCTAAATTGAAGGAACAATATTGGTAGAAGAATATGTATCAAGATATAGCTTCATTTGTAGAATCTTGAATAACTTGTTAAATGTATATAAATATATGACATCAAGATGGTTTACATCTAACATATCCTTTGGCTGTTTATTTTAAATGGCTTGTGAATTTGATTATTATGTCAATGGAACTATGGAAAATAAAATATTTAATTTTATTTTGTGAAGATTTATCAATCTATGTAGAAGGCAAGGTACTAAAAACAAAATCCATAGAAGAAATTTGTAGGTTTTTACTTGAAGATATTATTTATTGATATGAATGTATTAGAAAGATCACTACAAATTATGCAAAATTGAATGCACATCAAGCTTGTGAATTCTTTAAGAGATATAGAATTAAATTATTGTTGACTAGTGCTTATAATTCAAAGGGGAATGCAAAGAATGAATATAGACATCTTCCAATTCTAAAAGCGTTAGTCAAAGCTTGCAATAGAAGAGTGAGAGAATGGCCTCCACTTCTGCTTTATGAATTATGGATTGATCAAATAATACATAGTTTACTGACATGATATATGTTGGTAGAACTTATGACAAGTTAAAAATTAATTATACCAATTGAAGAAAATTTTCCAACTTAGAATATACTACCATGGGAAGATGGATTGACAAAGAAAAAATTATTGGCTATTAGAATTTGATAACTTAAACTGTGATTGAAAGTTGTGGAACTAGCATTAGAAAGGCTATAAAACATGAGATTAGGGAATAAGACTCGATTTCATAAGCAACACCAATTAAAGCCTAAAGGAATTGAAGAAGGTGATTAGGTACTTCTTTATGATAGCAGTCTGGATAACCAACATAATATTTTGCGGAGGTTTTTAAAATGTTGGTTTGGACCATATGTGGTAGTAATGATTCATAATAATGCTACATATTCATTAAGAAGTTGGATGGTACGAGGTTGAAGATATCTGTTGCAGAAAAGCGAATAAAGATTTTTAAAAGACAAAATAGAGAAATCAATATAGAAGATCATATTGAAACTATCAATATTTTTGAAGAAGATAATTGTTTTGAAATGTATGGTGAAAATAGTAATGAAGGATTTGATGCAAAAAATGAAGAGATGGTATGATACCATTTATGACATGCTTCATTTAGAGAATATAAAAGTTCAAAGGAGATAGATGTCATGTTCTAACATGACTATATGATAAAAATATAATAAAAAATAAAATTTTAATTAATATATAATTATCTAAGTTCAATAATAATTAAAGATATTTAAATATGGCTTTTATAAAAGTCTCTTAGTTTATTTTCTTGTCTTGATAATTAATAGGTTAAAGGTTGGTTAATAATTTTACCTTTTAACTTGTAGAGATGCTTTTATTATCTTAAAAGGATCATAAATTAGTATAATTAGATTAAAAGAGATAAATAATTAGCATGGTTGATATTAAGATTCAATTAAAGATAGGATTGGACTAAAAAATCTTTAGGATAGATTAGATTGATACCTCATGGTTGATTGTTTGTGAGATAGAGTCGAAATCAAATATCTAGCCACTAAATTAATTGCCTAGGACAAAATATACAGGGATTTGAAGATCAACAATTGGAATTGAAGAGCTAGCTTAGAACTTATTCCAAAGACGTAAGACTTGTTTTTGTAGAATTTGGTTTAATTTTATAATTTTTATTTAAATTTAAGGTTTATATTGGTAACTTGTAAGTTATGTAATACAATTAAGGCCAGCACTCTCACTTAGTTTGTGAAATTGATATCACATCTACAATTCAAAATTTGGCAATTCTTAGTTAATTGAGTGTGCTAAGTATATGTGAAATTTTGTAACAATTTAATAGTGTATTTAAGAGATATGTGGATTTTGGTGCAAGAAGGTATCAAAAGTTGGCAATTTGGAGTTGGGTAGGATTTCTATGATATCTAAAGATCTACCATTTGGATCAAAGTGAAATTTGGCATAGTATTAGAAGACTTGAAGATCAAGCTACACTAAAATTTTGAGTTGAAGTTAATGGTTAAAGAAGGAGAAATTATTGCTAGAACATTTGCATCAACTTTCTAGTTGGCAGCCAAGTAACATCAATGTGATTTTTAGGCATTTTTTCATGATCTGATTCTTGGATACTTATAAAATACAATTCCACTTTCCAATGCCAAATGCCTAATGCATTTCCAAATAAGATGACATGAAATACAATAGCGTATTACATATATTAATTACTTATTTTATAAGGTGACCACATATTGTACGTATTGGAAACTTGAGGTACATGTTGATCATGTGGTGTACATATTGAAAACTTCTCTTGCAACTTAGACATGTATCTTATAAGTTGGACAAATATTGGATTACCTATAAAACATTGCTATGTAGCTACTTAATTAGATAATATATATAGAGATAAGTGTGAGGCCTTTCTCACTCTTCTCATTGCCTTTTTTGTAGTCAATCTAGTTTCAAAAACCTCTATAGACATTAAAACAAAACATATTTGGTTATAGTTTTAATGCTAGTATTTATATATATATATATATATATATATATATATATATATATATTAATCTATAATGAAAACTTTAGAAAGAATATTAAAAAATATAAAAGATAATAAATGACTAAATTTTTTTTTTAAAATATTATAAAAAATTCTTGAAATGATGTAAAGTATTATTAATTACTTTAAAGTCTACAAAAAATAATAAGATTATTTAGAATGTTATATAAATTTCAAAGAAGTGCTTCAAATTATATTTGATTATATATTTATAAAAATTATAAAATTATATATATATATATATATATATATATATATATATATATATATAATTTTTTATATCCAAATAATAATATGATTAAACTTAATTATTTAATATTTAAAGTATCATAAATTATTTAATTATTACTAATAAATTTAAAATAAGAGTATATTTATATGTTCATTAGAATTTTGGTTCTAAATATTAGATGTATAAAATAAAAATTTAATAAATTTTGATTATTTAATTTTTAAAAATAAATCAAATAAAAACACATAAGTTAGAGAGAATCTATGTTTAATATTAACTTCTTAAATTTATAATGTAAATTTTTGCTATTTTGGTTTCACATTTTAGATTCATAAATAGAATAAAATGTTCAAAAAAATTGATATAATATTTTTATACTATATTATAAGTTTGATCTATATATTTATCAAATTTTAGTTTTAGTTTTTTTATATTGATGATTATTTTTTATATAGTATTAGCATTTATTATTTGTAACATTTATAGTTCTCAAATTTAAATTGAACTTATATAATATTAGAACTAGAGACATGTTGAGGATTAAACAACAACAAAGTAGAAAAAACTTATTTTGTTGTTTTGGGAGTTTTGTATAAGATTTGAAGAATTGTTATACCAGTAAAAAAATTAAAAATTAAAATACAAGATTATTTTATGTCAAAGAAAAACATTTTTTCTAAAAATACTTTATGTTTTGGATAGAATAAGGCAGAGTATAATTTTATATATTTCCACATGCCCTCAATATATATATATATATATATATATTAAGAATCAACATGTAAATATATAAATAAATTAAAAAATAAAAATAAAAACAACAAAAACCATTTTTCGAAAAATTCTACAATATGTTGTGTGTGTACAGAGAGTTTGTACATGAAAATGGGCAATGTAACAATTAGTTAAACAAACTAGTAGCTTGTATACAGTGTTAGTCAAGCTTCACGGACTACGAGCAATCACGAGACAAAACTCTGTGAAAACCGCAACCAATAAAATGCACTTATCCAGTAAATGAGATTGTTTATTATCAAAAAATAAAAAATAGGAATCATATGGCATCTGGCACAATACTACTTTACTCCAAGGTTCTACTATCTGGTACCACTTTACTCATTCCCCTATTCTCGAATGCCTATTGTGATATTTCTCCAATCCTTAAATATTCTACCTTCCTGGCCCATTCTCGAACTCCGCCTCCGTTTTCTGTGGCTGCACTATCAGTGCTAGCTTTTGCAGAGTACCGACACTGGTTTCTGAGCACCGGATGTGTCCAAAGTGCCCTTAACGACTGGCGTCACTGTTGCTGAGATGGTGTTGAGTGGCTGGCAGCAAGTGGATTGCTCCCGCAGAAGCTGACCACTAGACCCGGAGCTGGACTGGGCTGGAACCTGATCGAAGCCTTGCGGTGCAGTGCTGAGTGTGCGCCTGGAGCGCCCCGAAAGAATCGGAGCTACGATCTAGAAGCTCTGGTTTGGGAGGTGCACCTGGACCAGGTCGATCCGACATAGACGCACTTGGGAGTCAAACCCTTGGACAACGCCACCTGCGGAGCTCCCCGATTAGATCGCTTACTATTTAAGAGGGTGAGTGGGAGGGAAAGGACTGATGGCCGTCGGTGAATGCTTCAAACCCGCGTTAGCCTCCCTGGAGCTTTGGGGCTCTCTGTCAGGAAATTCCAGTGCCCTGCACAATAATGCGGCAACGTGCCTTGATTTCTTGCTCGCCGTGCACGTGGACGTTGCTGCCTCGCCATTTTTATAAGCCTTATAAGGTGCTTTCCAGCCTTCCTGGTTATGAGATCAAAGGCGCACACCTAGATCGTGAAGTCGAGTACAGGTGCCTTCTCTTGCTCCTACTCTCTCTATCTTTCTCCTCATCCTCCCTTAAAATCATCATGCTGTAAAGCAATCGGTAGGAAGCTCCTCAGCAAATTATTGCCGCGGTTGGCCCTCTCCAGGAAAATGATGATGTTTGTATGATGGAGTTCGTGTCGGTTCAAAGACAAAGCCCCTTCATTGACGCAATCAGCTTGCCTCTCATCTAGGAAACCAACACTATGGTGAAGATTCTCGTTGGATGTGGGTTTCGACGCTCCTGTCATTCATTCGGCGTGGCGGTTCCTGTCCTAGTGATCTCGACTTGCGCGTCACTTCGGTCAGGGTGAGTCCATGGGCTCTCACCACCACCATCTCCACCCTCCATTCGACGCCTCAAGGAAAGCTCGATCACCTCCAGTGCCTCCCCGAACCCACAATCCAGCTCTTCCTTTTCATTCCCTTTTTTCTGCTTACATGCATGTTACGTTTTCAAGTCTACATTGTAGCTCTCCTTGGTTTGAACACAGATTTCATATCATATGTACGTGAAGGTCTTGAACTGCAGCTCTTGCACCAATTAACAGAGACGGTTGAGTTCAGTATTCTTCTCAAAAATCTTTGTCCACTTCATTCTCAAAGTTTGTTCTCAAAATGATGTCTTGATTTATGACTCTGATAATTCTATGTTTTTTTTTTCACTTTCATTTTCTGTTCAACTCTGAAATGTGAACATGCTTAATGTGCTGTTATTTTCCAGGGTCAAATCCACTCCCTTCTTCGGTTCTGGTTGAACTTATCTTAAAATATTAGATTGACAACTGCACTTCATTGCAATATCTCAACCCGCTCATATCAGTTTCCAACCGGATCGACCGGTACCCGTGATTCGACGGGTACCGTTAGATTCCGCTCCACTAAAGTCAAAGTTGAAGGGCTGAGATAGCGAAAGGTCGTCGGGGAGAGTAACTCCATTGACTCCGACGAAGAACGACCTAATTTTGGGGGTTGCTCCTGAGAGAGTAAATACTTGAGGCCCTGCAAATTCCTTCCCATACTCATCTCCCATCTCATCTCGTCGTCGTTGTCGTCGTCACTTTTGTTCGTCACCTTGAACCCTGAAGCACCCGTGACAACCAGTGGCCACTAAGCGATATCATCCACAAGATCCAACTCTCTCTTACGAGGCCCCCCGGTATTGCGTTTCGTGTCGCGTCGTGTGTCGGTGCGCGGCCCCTTCCAGATGCGTTTGTACTCAATATGTTACGCAAGGTCGAAGGTCACGTCTGAAACGTTCTTTTCGCTATTTTTCGCAATCCTCTTTTCATTGCGTATCCTCTACCAGTCGTTTTCCAGTAGACGTCGATGATATTTCAGACAAGGGGGGGGGGGAGGGGGGCAAATGTGTTCAGTCGACAATCATGATTCCAGTGTGCCTTTTTCCTACTCCTCTTACCTTGTCTTCTTCTTAGGTCTGCATGCTTGTGATGCTTTTGAGGAGCTTGTTACTTTGCATCCGTTTGTTACTTCTCCGATTCCGGCGATTCGGAGCTTGCGGTGTACTTCAGTAGCGGTGATTTTCTTGACACTTCAGAGTGATGATTGGAAGGCTCTGAGAGGATCGTTGCGTGTCCAGTGGGATGTAGAGAAATGACGATGCTGGAGAAAAATATAGTTGGTAGAAGGTCCGTGTGTTTAGTCGCCTGTCCTCCACTACAATTCGCCGCGGATTACTTGCTCTGATTCCGATTTTGGTCTAGTTAAGACATTCTTGTTCAAGAGGAATGAGCGTTTGCTTCTTTGCAAGCGACATGGATTCCAATTTTGGAGGCAAAGGGAGGAGTAGAAGGGAGGGCTTAACTCGACATCTGAAAGCATTGGTTGCATGCTGTGTTCTTCAACCTGACGGTGTTCTGCAGCAATGCACACCTTCTGATGACGTTGCTGCGGACACTCGGTTCAAGTAGGATCACTGTTACCAACGCCGGTCTGTGTCACAGTAAACCCTCTCTCTATTCCTGTCTTTGCCTTACAAACATGTACCTGGGACGACGAGTTTTAGCCACGTGCGGAGAGTTACGGAATGCAAAGATCACGTCAGGTACGCATTCTCAAGTCAAAAGACTAACACGGCCACTTGGCAGTGGTTCTATCCCAGCAATCAAGTGCTTCTGCCTGGATAGATCGGAGCTGTTGCGAATATACATTTTATTCTCTTATCTAGAATAGCAGCTGTTTCTTGTTATGGAATTTGTTTCTGCATTCTAACAGAGGTTCTGACATATTGGTTATTTCAAATCTGGAGATTCAGAACATCAATCGTGTTGAATTACCATGTTTAGGGAATAGCTCAAAGAATTTCGAGGGCATTCTATGATGAGTTTAATTTTCCTTCCGCTGCAAATCGATAGAGGTCGACACCAACAAATCTCTAGAACCTCTCGAGTATTTTGCTGTTGCGCCATCCTTAATCCTTGACGCAATTCGTGGGACGTTAGAGACTTTGAATCCCACTGCCGTTGTGGATTGAAGTAAGAACCCTGTTAGATAACATACAATGAAGGCTTGGTAAAGGGGTCTAGTGGAAGAAAGAATATTTCACTATTTGTATTTCCTTACATGATGGCAAGTCAAGCCCTGACGGCGTCATGAGTTTCATGCGAAGATTGTCACATTATTTTACTACATATACGTGTACTTTTTCAATTCGCCATTTCCGACAGTAAAATACCGTGCATCACATTGACCTGATATGACGGAGGCTGTTTCCGAATCCTTGACCTTTTCTGGTTACGAAGACGTCAAAGCGACCCATCAAATCGTACAACACTGACTTTAGATCATTGATGCTCTTATTGCAATAGCTGCACGGAAATCACCCGAACAGTTGGTATCCACAGTGAGGGTTATACACTACTCAAAGTTCTTTTGGCACTCTATGTATTATTTAAGAAGCAAACGCATGTTGTACTCCACACCTTGCTTCCATCTGGTAGCTCGTGTCTTGGAAGGCATCGTGGCGTGTTTTAAACTCGAGCATCTGGATCCACTTGGTAGGTGGGTAACTTGAAATACACATGCCATATATATTTCTAAGACGTGGATCATTTCCATTATTGCATTTGCTGTAAATAGGGGACATAACTTAAAAGCTCTCGTAGAAATAACCATAAATTATTGTTTACAACAGTCTACAGAGAGGAAGTCTGTAATAAGGGAACTGCATAGGGAGACGTCCAGTCTGCATCGAATATTTCTTGGAGCTGGGAAACGATTCTAGGGTCGTAAGTGCCGAAGCTCACACCCGCTGTGGCATAAAAGTAATCCCACACAAGATTACTTGTTCCGATGTTAGCTCTTACATCGCTCACTGCAAATTTCGCATGGTTCACTCGTGCGAAACCTGGATACTCGTTTCCTGTTGATGCTCCTGTGGTTGCATCTGATGCAGGCCCTGTGGAATCCCAACCTGGAACCTCGTAATGCTTGATCTCAACTCTGCCGTTGCAACTGTTGTACGTAGACGACTTGCACAAGAAATTGGTGTAGTTAAGGTAAAGTAGGTACTTATCGGTTCCTTCGAGTGTTGTTTTCCAGCGAGCGACCAACACTTTCACCGTAGCATGCTTTGTAAAGACCACCTGTATCGACATCCGAGTCCGATTCAATGCAAGACCATAGAGCATGCTTCCGGAATGGTAAATTACTTCAAAAACGAGGTGAAAATGTCAAGCTTATATCCTGAAAAGATTAGGATTAGAATATACCTTTGAGATAGCGTTTGAGAAAGCAGGCCAAAAGACATCCATATCCAAGAATTGTGATTGCCCTAGCCAATCCATGGTGTTGATCCGAACTGTCCCATTCACAGGCACCGAAAATATTGTGTCCAGCCATCCCTGCTCGTCAGTCTGGTGGGAGTGGCCGGAGGCAATCTGAAAGAGTTAAACAGATCATGTTCCACTTCAGAACGGAAGTATGTGATTAGCCTTGACATTATCAATCATAGTTAATCGATCTACTCAAGGGCGTAGCTGAGGTTTTAGCTATGAACACTCACCTCTGGGGGTGACACAGAAACATAGGCAAGTGAGTTTCCTTCGCTCGCATTTCTCCGGCCTGGTGTGTCCAATTTCAACGGGAAGAAGGGAGGATCAGATAATAATGGATAGCCTTGTACATGTGATGTTGTGGTATATTTTGAGAACGGCGATCTGCACAGACATGGACCATAAAAATCTGAGCAGTTCACCTCAGCAAATTAACAATATTGATGTATGATAACATAGTTACAGACTTGCAGTTGAATCCATTGAGAGGAATAAATACTCACTGGCAACGTTTGTGGGGTTCCACAAATTGAGACCAACATGGCACAGTGCGGTTCAGTTGCCATTGTTGATCCCAGACCACCGAGGTATGCTCTGAGGCATTCAATGAAGTGAGGGTCCAGAAATTGTTGAAGTATCCATCGAGTAGCTTCACAACCTTAGGGCAATTTCTGAAATAAACTCCAACTTCCTTCACCTGCATTGAAAGACTTACGACTTGAATTCTCCAGTTAACCACATTGCTGACAAGTTACGTACAGATTGCCAACAATGTAGGGTATCCTTCGGTGCAAAAGACACACTATGAAATTGATTCCACTGGTTAAGCTCAGTATACCTGTGTGAAAGATTTCCAGTCATTGTTTGCGGATCCAAGGTAGGCATCCTCCTTGTTGGCTATCCAAAGCTTGCTGTGGATGATTCCCGAACCCCACCATTTGGTCAATACGAGAGTTCGGTTTTGAACGTTCGGCCTCCCCGCGGCCATGGCCGCCGATTCGGCATCAAAACTTGGAGAAAATCCCGTGTGCTGCAAAATTCTACAGTGGGGAGATTCAAATTCTCAGTATAATCGAATTGGCCGTCATTCAAACCATCAAGAGAGGGGGAAATCATAATTTACGATAAACATTAACATAATTCTGAACTCGAGCATGGCAATCACCGGATGGGTACACCTCTGTCCGCAGCTGCCAGCAACGAATCGTACACAGCCTTACCAACAGGCGCGCCGAAGTGCGCCATCTCCTGCTCCGAGAATCCATAGTCACCCGAAATTGGGTTGATCGGTTCCGCCTGAAGCTCCCAGTACTGCGCCGAGACATCCAATCCCTTCTCTGTGGCATTTCCAGCCAACCATTGAAGCACATCGCCAGTATTCAACACTCCAGGCACCAGCGGAAGCTCCGGCATGTCTGTTGGAATGGACTGCACCAACCACACTTTGCAATCCTCCTTCTCAAGCGAAATTTGTCTTTGGGTTCCGCGTCCTATTGACAAGAGCAGCACTAGTAGAAGCGTCGTTGCTGCCATGATTGCTCCCATCGCTTGCATCTGTTTCTTCTCTGTTTTCTTACAATTCATCATCCCCAAACTCAATTGTGCAACTAAAACACGGTCCACAAGTTCAAATTCGCACTTACGTAATGTCTGACTGAAATCTCGTCACAAGTAGAGCTTGTCATTAGCACATATGCATCACCACGGTCATACGAAGACTATTGAACGTAAATAACACTGGATACCCATAGTATCAAGCCAGTAAGCTTAACCGTGTGGTCGAACTGAGGAAAGCGTGAATTGAACAAAGTCGAGAGAGAATATCTACACAGCATGTTGGGTATATTTATTAGTGTCAGCAGCTTTCGAGGGCCACCAGTCGGCAACATTCTGCCAGAATTCCTACACCGAAACTCTGCATCTGGCCCTCTAAAATTACAGCTCGCGGGAGAAGATTGCTTTGTGCTCATCTTAGATGCTCATGCATCTCAAACGAAATTTCCGTATTGTAGTGTTTGAGTGTGACCCCACGCTTCTCATAATGAGACAACATTTCGGCGTTCTTCTTCGAAATCTCAACATTTATGTGAAAGAGTAACTGATTAAAACGACAAAACATAGAATTTGGAAGGGGGAGGACTCAAGAAACATGATAGTTTTGTGTGTTACTGTCTCAATTCTCTTAAGGATAAGATTCATAGTTTGGACTGTAAGTTTTTCCAGCTTAATTGTTTGTCGCCGTGGAGTTGTGGAATTGTTTTAAGATGGAAGAGAGGGCCGTTGGTCTTCATCATGGCATGCTAAGCACCTGTCGCAGAGAGTGCGCACATCAGCATCCACGGAAAATCCCTGTATCTCCGATTTTCTGAAAGAAAGTGGCGTGTCCATGTGAGTATATGAGAGGGAGGATGAAATGCGGTGAAGATCATTGAGTCTCCCACCGTCAATTAACATGTGCGGTGTTGTTTATGAGTTCCGAATCATTGAGTTTCAGAAACGAGTTGAAGGATTCATCATCATTGAGCAGGTCTGCAATCCTCGGAATAAACTAGGGGAATTTAATGGGAAGAGAATTGTGGTGGAGATGGAGTTGGTGTGTTGCTTCGGCAGCAATGCGTAGTGCTCCATCAACAAATGTCGGTCTCGTGCAACATTGCCCTGCCTAAACCCTAAAATCAGTCAAACCCTAAGTAGCTCAGAATTGCTTTGACATGGCTCTAAATTCTAAATTTGGAAATTGACCTCGGTAACTAACCCATTCATTACCTAAGATGGGGCTTTGAGTGTAAGAGTAATGAGGGGGTTCAAATACTACAGACATCTAAATTCAACTACTGTTAACTAAGAAATCGTAATTTGAGGAGCACATCATGTCTTGCTTAAGATTGTCATAGTTAGTAAGCAACTCAAAGCGCAACTTGCACAACAAAATTTAAATTCAAAATTGGTATCGTATCACAGCTTTTCGCAACGACCCAAGTAAACAACAGAGAATCAACTGCCCAAATTTTCTAAAATGTTGCAGGCATTTACTTTGGAACTTGCTTAAGTTTCCAGTGGTAGATACTAGCTGTGATAAGATGGAGGAACAGAATGAGAACGTACGTCATTTTAGATGGACCTAACCACTCTCTACTTCAGATGAATACATCCCTACTTCATGATTTACCGCCATTGTTCCCTTCTGCAGTTTACCCGAGTTACCCTGCTTGAGCGCAGAAGTGGAACATACCCTTCTCATCACGGGTCAAGGTTAGCCTCTGCCAAACCAAGAGGGTAGACACTATCAGCCCTTAAATATTGAATATGCTGATCTCTAATGAACCAATTGAGGTTGTTTAGACTTGCAGAAATGATGTTTCGTACTACATTACATTTCACATTGTTGGTCAATCTATGTCACTTGGATTAGGATTAAGATTCAACAAATAAGGACGAAGAGATATTACTTTCCAAAGGTGCCGACACTGGAATTTCAGGCAATAAAATGAAACTTCTATGAAAGATATAGAATAACCCAACTACCCAGTCGTTTCTCAGGACTTCAATATAAAAAAATAAACAAATTAAATCCGCATTAGACAATGACGCTATTTCACACTTGCATCAATGCGGACAGTTGAAACCAAATTACACAAGCTAACAAAACAGGGTATAAACCGCGAGAGAACCTGACAGTACTATCTGAATTATTTGACGAAGGGCATCCCTGATGGGACTCTGCTGGCATAGTCCACATAGTCTTGTCCAAAAAAGCGGCGCAGATGATACTCCTCGTATCTTTGAAACAAAGTTAAGAAACCACATCGGATTGTAAAGCACTCTGAAGCGAATACTTAGGTAGCACCCAAGGATCTCTTTCTAACTCTTATTTCTGAAGCTTTGCTGTTGACACTCATAATGTACTTGATAAAATAGCATGTCAGAAAGCAATCGCTCCATAAACAAGCTTAAACAAATCCTGCACTTTAACCAGAGAATTTGAGCTCCTGATAGGGTTTAACATACAACAAACTCTTAACTGAAAATAACCATAAAACATTTTTGCCAACGCAAGAATCAAGTGTAAGGATACGGTATCCGATCGTTAAAAAAGCGCCAGGTGACGAGAGTGTAGCCGACTATACAAATTGGATTGACGAGTAATACTTGTGTGCCAATCGACCAGACAAAAAATCCCAGATAACTTGGGTGACGAAAAAACCTGCAAAAGAACCAATTGAATATGTTTAACAATAGAAATCTACTCACAAAGAACAAAGAATGCGTCATAGATAAATAAAATAAAATAAAATAAGCTAACAAGTTAATAGAAAGTTCAAAGCTTTCGTTTTTCAAAAGTATTTCTTAGAATTTAAATCTAAAAGTTGAAAAAACAGGATCAGCCCCTACAACCAAGAGTTGGATGGCAATTAAAGGCTACCTGTAAATACCATGAGTGACAAGCTTGTGCTCTTGTCGTCTTTCTACTTTGATATCGTGTGTAAAGCTTTTGTTCGCAGTAATTACCGCCAATTTGCGAAGACTATCACCAACCACTACCATGGCTAATCCTGTGTAGCTCAAGTAAGCTTGCTGCTTCAGCCACGGTGCAAACCAGCTCTCAAGTGCATGCTCCACCAGTGAAACACCCAGGGCTATTAAGTAGGGGACACTTATGAGAGTAGCTGCATTGTTTCAGTAGTCGGTTCAGTACAACAAATCGCTACCTGACAAGTTCACACTCTCAACCCTAAACATTCTGTATACCTTGAATGTCAATCTCTAACTACTGAGCTCATCCTTACCATCAATATCTTCGATGATAATATACAGAATCTTGAAACGACAGACATTGTCAGAATATCGGCACGAAATGAAACCATATCTGCAAATTATCTTTTACAGTGCTTTTGAATCAGTCTCGCGCTCAGATTTTCAGTAAGAGGTTGAGCATGATCATCCACAACTAGCAGCAATTAAAAACTAATCCAGACAGAGAAGTAGAGAAGTTTTGCATAGTCCAGCGCGACTGCAGTAATTTTATACGACTGCTCTCATACGATCGTGTGAATGAAATTAATTGCATCCACTAGCATTTTAAGCGGAGGAGAGACTAATAAAGTTGAGAAATTTGGTTACATTGGTATTTGCGGATAGCTGAATCCACTGCCCTCGAGTAGGCAAAAAAAATATTAACAAGATCAATCTGACGATTAACTATAAACACGAGGAACTCCAAAATTCTCGGCAGTTCTTGAAGACGACAGGCAGAAGCTTAGCATGGAATTTGAACTTACAGGCGGCATTGACACGCCGGCGACCATGGTACGCGAGCGCCAGCAGAAACTCCGAAGTGTGGAAAAACACCACCGCTCCAAACATCCACTGGAGCTGCTCCCAAGGCGTAAACCCCATCCTGGCTTCCAAAGCAACACAAATCGTCTCTAACAATTTCACATTCCTCAGATCCCCCAACTTCTCCCCATAACTCTTAACATGATCAATCCACACCCAAAAAAATTGCGCCTTCAAATTGTGGGTAACTTCTAAAAGCTCTTCGCTCATAACACGGCAAACATGAAGCTTCAAAAGCACACACGTCTTCGGCACAGCAGCATCGCAGCGCCAAATAATCCGCTCTGACACAGCGTAACGAGGACACAACCAACGAAACTCGAGGATGAAAAACGTCTAGCGCAAGCACAAGGGATGAAAGCTTCATTTCAGATTTCAGAATGGCTTGAATGCTGTTGAGAATGTTTAGAAAGACACAAGAGTAGTAGTAAGTAATACACACACACACATTGAGAATGTTTAGAAAGACACAAGAGTAGTAGTAAGTAATACACACACACAAGAGAGTTTCTAAGGGGAGAGAGAGAGAGCTTCACACAAAAGTCTATTGATCTAGTTGTGTCTTGTATACAAGGGGAGAGGATAAACAATTCTTCTCCACTACATTCCAAATACTGTAGCTATAGTATTTATTGTAGACTATAGTAAATATTATGGAGAGCACCGGCTACATTTAATGCTTTCAACACTCCTCTTCGCTCATCATAATATTTACATAATATAAAATTTATATAGAATTATGATCATTACTTTTTTGTAAGCTTGCAAGATCAACAATTGTTGCCTCATTAAAACCTTATTTAGAAAAACTTATTGTATTTAAGGACAAAACCATAGATGAAGGAAAAAGAGTACAACATCATTTTTCTTAATTATTTAAAAAATTCATTAACTTCTTTATTCAAGAAAAGCAAGTCGCCGCATACCAATGTGTCACAAACACAGAAATATAGACTCGAGATCTAACAAGAAGTTCAAGAAGAACTGGCAAGAACTAGATTAATCAGATGAATACAAGAACAACACCAGAGAGGTGGGCTATAGCTCCAAGAGATGTGTTGTTGAAACTGAAGAACTCTTCAACCTCGATTCCAATATATACTCCTATTTAGGAAGCTTCTCAAGCAACTTCTACCAACTAAGAAGCTTCTAGAAGGTTCCAAAGACTTGCTTCTAGAAGGTTCTAGAAACTTGTTTGTATAAGGTTCTAAGGACTATTTCCCTAACATCTTCTACCAACTAAGAAGCTTCTAGAAGGTTCCAGAGACTTGCTTCTAGAAGGTTCTAGAAACTTGTCTCTAGAAGGTTCAAGAAACTTGTCTCTAGAAGGTTCTAAGGACTATGTCCCTAACACTATGTTCCTAACATCACCCCTTCCTTTAGCTTTGAGGTCTCTGAGAAGCAATGTTATTGTTAATCAATACCAATGCAAGAAAATGAAGATCTGTCACATAATGTCTGCTATGAACTCCAACTGTTGTTCACGAAGCAAGTGGTTCATCGGCCCTTGAGGCCAATGGTAGTGGCCTACTCCTTCAACTTCTGACCAAGCATAAACTTCTATGTCCTCATTGTAAAATTATCATGCAAACACGCCTTTTGGCTGACCATCATAAGCAAGCTCGATCTTAAATACAATCACCAATGATCGGTTACTCGGAATCCTCCGTCGTCATCGAGGTGTAAGCAGTTCTTCATCTTGGGGTTGCCTTCGTGAATTAGTTGGTTGAGATAATCTGACTGGCATAGTATCTATCTCTTGGCTATCCATATCAGAAGACCAAACTATGGCTACTGAAAAAATTCTACTTTATCTTGGAGAAAATAACTACATCAACTACGAATTTTAGTGGTGTTCTCCCCCTTTCTTATATTCTTGGATGAGCAAGCTTCAGAAGGAAGCTATCATCGAACCGGCTTAAGTTTATGAGGATGTTGTTGATGAAACTCCTATATCTTTTGCGGCGCATTGGCAAGATTTTTAGTTGGCTCCCACGTTTGCTCATTAATATCGTAGCCGCTTTAATGAACAAGATACTCTAACTTGCCCCACCTTTGCCGTGAATCCAGTACCTTTTCAACCTCGTATTCCTCGTGGTTCTCAATTTCAATACTAGGTGGTGGACATTGCACTCTTCCAGGAAAAGACGATTCTTGATAAGGCAGAGAAACATGAAAGACAAGATGTACCTTCATAGAAGCCGGTAATTCCAGACGATATGCCACTAGATTGATTTGCTTCTGAATGATAAATAGTCCCAATCTTCGATAGTCCAACTTATCACATGGTCGCTTGGTCTTGATATTCCGTCAAAGAAGCCATGCTTTATCTCCAATTTTGAAAGTAGGTGCTTGATTTCAAAATCTATCTACAGACGCCTTGTAGGATTCTTGAGCGGATTGTAATTGAAGCTTCAACATATTTTGAAGCTCTAATAGTTGTTTCGTAAATCCTTCAGCTGCTGGATTGTTATTTGTTGATGGACTTAATAAATCAAGCTTCGAATGATACCCATAGTTGGAAAAGAATGGTGTGTATTGAGTCGACGCATGGAGGATGTTGTTATATGCAAACTCGGCTAGCGACAGATATGTGGTCCAATTGTCCTGCTGATAGTTGATACTGTATCATAAGTATTGTTCCAAGACTTGGTTCACCCGTTCCGTTTGGCCATCAGTTTGAGGATGAAAAGTCAAAGAAAGCTTGATATCCACCTTCAGTATCTCAAAGAGAGATCTCCAAAACTTTGATACGAATTGGGTTCCTCGATCTCATACGATATCATCTGGTAGTCCATGATATCGATATACATTATCGAGAAAGAACCTTGCTATGACTTCACTGGACGATGTCTTCTTGCAAGGAACAAAGTGTGCCATCTTTGTAAGCCGATCTACCACGACAAAGATGCTATCAAATGAGTTCGATTATGGCAGGTCCGTGATGAAGTCCATGGAAACTGAAGACCATGGTCGACGTGGAATCGGCAATGGCTGTAGGAGTCTATAAGGGCGATGTCGAAGATTCTTGGATCTTGAACAGATGTCGTAGGAGAGAAAAAAATCTTTCACATCCTTCCACATTTGGGGCCACCAAAAATCTCGAGAAATAAGCTCCAAGGTCTTGTTGAATCGAAAAATGTCCCGCAGCTGGAAAATCGTGGCGAGATTGAAGAACTTGGAGTCGTACTAGTTCTTTTGGGATATACAACCACTCCTAAAAGTATAAAAGATCTCCCTCCACCTTGAACTTGTCATCATTGGCACGTTATCGTATTACGTGCTTTCTTGCTCGAGAACGTGCTGGGTGTCTGGCTGTAGAAGGTAGTATGGAGATTCGCCAATATTCAAGCAGTTTATCAATTTTTGACTATTGAAATACAAACAACTGCAAGAATACACCGTAAATCTATATGGATGCCCTTCGACTGCTTGTCGAAGTCCTTTTTGCCCCAGCCGGTAGGTCTCTAGACGTTACAGAGAACCCCGAACAACCCAAACTACTAATCTTCGATACCGCTTTATACTCACGATCTTGTATCCACTGACTGTCTTGTTAGATTAACCCAATAAATTTCATTCACTCCGCATACACAATCCTATAGACACCCTTTTAACTCTTCATCACAAACGTAACTCGATTTCACAAAACAGTCAAGAGTAATCAAACCCACTTCATTAAAAATCCCGATTCACCATTACAACACTGACTTCAGTAACGATTGCCTCAGTCTTCCCAAAATCCTATGAAGAAAAAAAATCCAATTCTCTGTCTTTTTTCCCCGCCCGAAGCATGAAGCTAGCTCTCTAATTCTTCAAAAACTCCCCAAAAAACTTATTCTCCCCCCCCCTCTCATTTCTTAACCTTAATTCTGAATTTCCTCAATCTTCCATCTTGGACCCGGAATTGGCTCCCACCGTCAGAGCTTGATCCGAAATTGACTCTCGTCGTCAGAGCTTTCTCCTCCATTTTTACCTTTAAGAGATCCTTTTACCGAAAACAACGTTCCCTGAAACAACACAGAGAACAGGACAACCTGAAACATAATCGAAACCCCGTAATCGGGACCACATTGAGTCGCCCGACCAATTCAGGTCTCATATTGGCTAAGAGTTCAATAATAAGATCCGGATGTTCTCGAAATTGGATCAAATTGGTCTTTCGTATTAGATTGGCTGAGGCCCGTAGTAAGACCTAGATTTTCCCATAATTAGACTGCATTGGGTTGCCCGACCAATTCAGGTCTCATATTGGGTAAGAGGACCCGGATTGAATTCTTGAAATTGGATTCAATTGGCTCTTCGAACCAGGCTCACCTGTCATATGAATTGGTCCTTTCCCTTTCTGCTGACTCTCGTTATTGGAATCGAACGGAGCATTTCAGTATGCCCCGGCTGACTGTAACGGGGTGATTGAACCTGGCCACTCAGTATTTGCACTGGAGTTGGTCGTTGCTCCCAATATTCGAGGTAACTGAACATTAATAAAAGTCCCCTTTCTTTATATTTTCATAGTATACTCGTGTTACAACACGACAACGCTACTTGATATCAATGGCTACTGAATCTTGAATGGTTATGACACATACCTGATTCAGGAAGTCAACATCAATTGGCACAATAGTAGCGCAAAGCCGAAATTGCTCTGGCTTCAATAACGTCGTACATTGTTGATCAAACGCTGCTTCTCTAACTTTTGGTACAAGATACGATCTCCTCAATAAGGCATCAGATAGTCCTTGCTGCTTTCCAGGTCAATGAGTGATAACAAAATCGAACCTAGATAGCGACATACTCTACCGAGCTTGACGTCGATTTAGAACTCGAGCCGACATGAAATACTCCAAATTCTTGTGATCTATGTAAACAGTCATTGGGTGTACAGCTCCTTCAAGAAAATGACGCCATTCTTAGAAAGAATCCACTATAGCAAGAAGTTCCTTATCGTGGATCTCATAATTGATTTCAATAGCAGAGAACTTTCGAGAATAGAATGCAATCGGATGGAACTTCTTGTCTTCTCCCATTTGTGAAAGTACAACTTCCAAAGTAAAATCCGAAGCATCAGTTTCTAAATAGAAGGCCTTTGTAAAGTCAAGATGTACGAAGATTGGAGCCGTAATAAATACGGTCTTCAGGTCTTGAAACACCTTCTCCGCTAGAGGTCCCCATTCGAGCTTATTCTTGCATGTCAACCGAGTGAGAGGAGCACCAACTTGAGAGTAATTCTTAATGAAGATCCGATAGAAGTTGGCAAAGTCATGAAAGCATTGTACATTTCTAACCGTCTTTGGAACTTCTTAGGATACGATTGCTTCCACCTTCTTGG